ATATATAGTGTTTTTCAAAATAAATATATAATTTTATATTGCGCATTACATAAATTTTTTTTTATATAATGTATTTTCTTTACATCAACTAATTCATCTCATTGTTGTATAGATATATATGTATATTCTATAGATATATATAGATATATATAAAAGTATTAAGATAAAATGACCAAAAAATGAACAGTTTACGAAATATTCTATATTTCATAGCAAAATATACATAAAGAAAATATATAATGTCTCTCAAATAACTAACTTTTTATAACTTCATTTTAATACTGTTATATGCAGAATAATTAAAGAAATCGTATTATGTAAAATAAATTCTATAATTTCATTTAAAAAATAACTATAAAATTTATATCAAAAAATGTATTCTTATCAAAAATTAATTTTATATTTATCTTCTTTTAAATCATATAATTTTTATCTAAAATGATTTTATCTACAGAGTTTAAATTTCGACATATTCTGGTGATTTATTTTTATGTTCTCTACTCAATATAATTTAAATAGAACTATAAAGAAAAAAATTATTTTATTAAAGAAACATTTGCATAAAGTGAGTTTGAATATTCCATTCAAAAAAATTTATAAATATTTTATCGAAAGCTAAATTAATTACGACAAGTAAATATTCTTCTACTGTAAACACAATAATTGAAAAAAAATTAATCAATCCTCATTATTTGTTTTTTAAATAGGTCATAAAGACAAGAAAATAACTATATTCTTAATTATATTCTCTACAATATAACAATATTACATTTATTTTAAAACTGTAATTATAAATAAACCGAATAAAGACTTTAATTGCAATAAAAAAACAATATTATATACGAAGTATTGCTTACTATACAACACAAAAACAAAAAATATAATTCAGATCACAAGCAATGCTCGAAATCAATTATAAATTCGTGAGAACTTAACAAGAGGATGAAAATAGATTGCAAACGGATATTTAACAACCCCCCTCAATATTATACCAGTTTTTATCTACTTCGAATATTGGACACACGTGGCACTGACAAAACTTTTACAACAAGAAAGGTCTAAAATTTTTTTAATACATCCTGTTCATGCAATAATCATGTATCACTTTTAAAAACTTTTATTATGCACACATATATCAATTATCGGTTAAATAAAAGTTAATGTCGTTCTATAAGGAGAAAATAGATGTCATGTGGATAATGAAGAAACTGTACGAAGCAATGAAATAATAGCTAAGTGGAATTCTGTGATCGAATGTCATACATGTGAGGAGCTCCACTATGAAAAATATCTACACTCGGAAAGTGAGTATATGAAAGAGGCCTAATACGTAAAACATGAACAAATAAAAATACGTATATGCAATACTTAATTTTTACAATAAAAGTGATATTACTCACAATTAAACGAGATGTCTATAGTTCAGACTATAGATGCCACAAAAAAATCGATTACAACTGAGTACAAACATGATTGCTACATTTACATAACTTGCAGCATGACCAACTATACCTATCAACCAGTCATTAATTCAATTATTATTTATGACTGCATTGAACATTGTTGTACTAGTAATTATCCGCAGTTGCACAATAAAAAAGGACATTTTTCTAGATTTTTTTATAATAATATTTGTAAAATTGTAATAATATTTTTCTTCAGAGAATACAAAAGTAATGATAGTATTTCGATGTATTATTTTTAAAATCTTTACAGATTAAGATTAAATTTAAACAAATTTTAATTCAGCAACTCTGTAAAATTAATGTGCATAAAATTATTTACTTTTAAGCTATTATACCAATTAAGAATATGACCACAAAGGACTGAATAATGTTAAAAAGTAATCAAGAGAGAAATATGATGATTCGAAGAGCGCAGAATGCACATATAATTATTATCTGTTCCTATTGTATAATATAATGACATTAGCGGGTTTTTTTGTCGCAGTGTTGCTTATTTTTGGAATGTCAGTAAGACTGACACCTAATATTACTGGCCCAGAAAGGACACCAATGCCTTTACAAACTCATTACATTTACGATATAACAAAAAAGCCTCAATATGAATTAACATTTATTGGTCATGTCATCTACGTAGCTATCAGCTATGATGATCTATAGTGCAGATAATTTTCTAAGTCTCGTGGTTTTTCATATATGCGGTCAATTAAACATTCTTGAGAATCATATGCAATATTTGGATAAATATATAAATTATCACAAAATATTAAAACTCTGCTTAACAAAACATATCCGTTTGCTTAGGTTTGTTATTTGTAAGAAAACGTATACGTAAATAAAATAATCTATAATAATAAGGTAATCTACACAAAATATGTGATGAAATATATTTGCTATTATACATAAAATATCTTTTATAGAGCTATCGATACTATTGAAGATACTTATAATACTTCTCTCTTTATTTATATATTTCGCGATATTCTTCGCTTTCTATGGATTTCGAGTAATTAGCGTCAGTATTGTATTTAAAAGTTAAATAAAAAGACGTTTATGTCAAAATTGTCCTGCTAAATAATAGTGTACATTTTAATAATTATAATTAATAAGTTATAACATTTAAAGGAGAAAAATTAATAAGGCGGTTTTGTACTCCTCTTCCTCTTCATTATACATAAATGTTTCATGTAATGATTTGTTAAAAACAAAATGCCATCAATACAAAAATCATTAATGTATGTTCTGTCGCGTTCAAGCTCATAGCTACTGTTACAAAATTATAATTATACTTATTACCTACTCTGAAAGAAAAGATTGGTTGCTGCAGCAAATTAGATGGTAAAACATGGCATTGCATTTTTAATTCGTTGCAACAACCAATTTTTGATTGCTGCAACTAGTTGTTGATTGTGTTAACCTATTCACAATGTTAGTATAGGATTTCAAATGACTAACATAATCAAAAATTGGTTGCTGTAGCCAATTAAAAATGCTATGTCATAATTTACCGTCTAATTTGCTGCAGCAATCTTTACTTTAAGTGTAACAATTGTAATTATTTTTGTATTTTAGATATTAATATTAATTTGTAAAGATGATTTTATTGTCTTGTTGCTTACATTTAAATCGACTTCCTCGATTCAAATGAATGCCAAACACAAACAAATAGACCGATCTGGCTGTAACTTGGTGTGTGTTCCTCCAAGAGATGCTACTAACTAAATCTAACCTTGATACGCGCCAGTAGTGCCATCAGCAGATACTTTGCACGGACTTTTCAAACGACCCTCGTATATTATATGTATTTCAAGTGTAACATATATGTATATGTAAGTAATATGCACAAATTAAATAATTGAAAGAATATTAATTGCAATATTAAATGTAAATAATTTTATATATAAATGTTTTTATCGTAAATAAAAAATATATAAGACAGGGAATCCAATAATAAACGGAATTGAGTGCAGTGCGCAAATCGGTTATAGTAGCTGTTATTGCGCTGTTGAGAAATACAAATCAAAATTATTTTGAAAAGTCTGCTAAGTAGCATATAGTTATCTAATTATAATTTGAATGAGCATATAGTTATCTAATTATAATTTGATTCTAATTATAATTCTTTTCTGCTAAATTTTTTGTGTAAATAAACTGTAAGCAATTTCGGCGATTTCTAACTAAACTAAAAAAGTAACTGATAAGAAAAGAACAGTGAGAGAGTGTAAAATTTTGTTATTTTTTGAGGAAATTTAGATTATTAAAATTATGTGTTGTTTTTCCAAAAATTTTTATGAAATACGACAGCACGAAATATTACAGCAATATTACAGTATTATGCTAAAAGATTACAATATTTTCAAAAAGATATTAAGTTTCAATATTGCAGTAATGTTGCTGCAATATTTTGGACTGTAGAAGTAATTTTGTTGAACACAACTGTACCAAAATTAATTCAAAGTTTTTCAATAAAACAAAAAAAAAACCAAAATAGTTTTAAAGAATGTCTGAAATGTCTGAAAAATTTTATTTAGCTTTCATAAAAGTTTTAAACTGCAATTGTATTTAATATCCAAAGTTTAAGTATTAGTTAATATAAAAAAATTACATTTTAAAATTGCATATAAATTTTAATATATGTACATTATATATTATGCTGCATGCTATTTTAATAATTCATATATGTATTTTTTATGAATTTTAAGTATGACAGAATCCACTATGCTGTATATTCCAATGAATGGTATACCATGAATGCAAGAAATACTCGCGATCTAGTTCTTCTAATGTTACGAACCAGTAAACTTCTCCATCTAAATTTTGGTAAACTGTTTCCTTTAACGATGGCTACATTTTGCAGTGTAAGTTATCTGGAATTTTAAGCATGATTGTAGAGCACAACAAGACAACGTCTTTTTATATGAAAAAGGTAAAATCAATGTAAACACAAAAATTTTAAACATTCAAGTAAAAACATCATAAAATATATAAAAGAATAAAGCATTCCGTGTCAGTTTATTCAACTGCTAAGAGATTCTTTGTAACATCAATGATTTTCCGCTGATTCAGATATTTTAAATTCACAAATAATTATAAAAATATAATTTTCACATGAATTGTTTTATTTCTTTTAACTATTACAGATTATTTTTATAATTATTTCTTAATGTATGCATATGATGCATTGATTGTAGTTTAAACTTGATTATATACTATATTTTTAAAAAAATATTCATTATATATCTAATATTTAATCTTATGTATATATTATTATATGTATATTTTCATATAGTTACTTTAAGAAAAAACTATATTTTCATATAGGTTTTTCTTAAACATGCCTTTTATTAATTTATTGTTGTATTTTTTGTAGCTGTTAAAAACGTCAGCAGGCTACATATCTGTATTACTTACAACAAGGAGTCAATCAAAGTTTTAAAATATAAATAATGTCCAAATTAATATTAAAATACAAATTCAATAATGATTTAACCAAAAAATATTAACTAATTTAAAGTATGCCATGTAAGATACTTGAAAAGTTTATGTAGAATGATATATGCATTATGAATAAACTCAATACTTACATTTTTTTGCTGCTGACTGATTGCTCTGCTTATTGATAGAAACTAT